CGCTTGCGAACAACAACTGATACACAGAGACGGCAGCCGACGGCCTTGGTTGCGTTCATTGATGATGACGAGCCGTCATGCCATTCTCAAGCAGTTCGATTACCACAATGGCGTGATGCCATGTCCGTGGAATTTAATGCTTTAATTAACAATCACACTTGGAATTTAGTTCCGTATCACTTCGGTATGAATGTAATAGGAAGTAAATGGGTTTTCCGCATCAAAAGGAACTCTAATGGCACCATCGAGCGTTATAAAGCCCGCTTGGTAGCTAAAGGGTTCAATCAAATACCCGGACAGGACTACATGGAAACATACAGTCCGGTACTGAAGCCGACAACCGTCAGAATCTTGTTGTCTTATGCTGTTTCCAATCAGTGGACTATGCGTCAACTTGACGTCCACAACGCCTTTTTAAATGGCTATGTGACTGAAGACATATACATGAAGCAACCGCCCGGGTTCGTGAATCCAAACTACCTGGATCATGTGTGTAAGCTGCAACGGTCGTTGTACGGCTTAAAACAGGCCCCACGGGCCTGGTTCACAAGACTCCATGACTACCTGCTTCAGATTGGCTTTTCCCCGTCTAAAACGGACGTCTCTTTGTTTATTTATGGTTCAGGAAATACTCGTGCTTATTTGCTGGTGTATGTGGACGATATTCTCCTAATGGGGAATGATCCAAATATGATGTAGGATGTGCTAGCGAAACTTTCAGATGTGTTTCGCATTCGTGACCTTGGCAAACCAAGGTTCTTTCTAGGGATTGAAGCTATTGATAAGGCCGGCAGTCTAGTGCTATCTCAAAAGCGCTACATGACTGAGTTTCTACGAAAGGTGGGTATGGAGTCGTGTAAACCCCTGGCCACACCCATTGCTGTGGCTGCTCAACACAGTTCCACGCCTTCAGCTGCACTTGATGATCCGACGCCATATCGACAACTTGTGGGTTCGCTTATGTATTTGTTGATTACTCGTCCAGATTTGGCTTATGCTGTTAACAGGCTTTGTCAATTCATGCATGCACCAACCCAAGAAAATTGGGTCGCGCTCAAGCGAGTCCTGCGTTACCATCCAGGGTACTCTGGACCTTGGTCATCGTCTTGCCCCCTCGGCTACACCAGTTCTGCACGCCTTCTCAGACTCGGACTGGGCAGGCTGCTCCATTGACAGGCGATCAACTGGGGGTATGCTGTGTTCTTGGGTCCCAATTTACTGTCTTGGGTCTCTAGGAAGCAGCGAACAGTGGCTCGGTCCTCAACCAAAGCTGAATACAAAGCCCTAGCTGACGTTGCGGCCGAGGTAACGTGGATTCAATCTCTATTAAGTGAGCTTGGGTTGTTACCGAAAACGGTTCCCGTCCTATGGTGTGATAACCTCGGCGCCACCTACTTATGCTCAAATCCGGTGTTCCATGCACGGACGAAGCACGTAGAAGTCGATTATCATTTTGTTCGGGACAAGGTGTCCAAGGGTGCGCTCAAGGTTAACTTCGTCTCGACACATGACCAGCTTGCTGACATATTCACCAAGCCGCTTTCTGCTGCTCGTTTTGGTGACTTACGGTGCAAGCTAGGCGTGGTTTCCTGCCCCCCGCCTGCTTGAGGGGGAGTATTGGTGCACATATTTTGAATTAAATATTTATTGGTTAAAGTTGTTTAGAGTTGTTAGAGTCCTTAGCTTATCTTGTTCTGCTCCACCTATTGTGGTGCTTAGACTAGTTATAAATACTCTTGTATGTTTACGCAGAATAAATATCAGACACTATTTTAATTCACTAGAAGACTCGAAGAGATACAACTTTCATGAAGACATCAAAGCGTAATTCGGAGTATAAAATGGTCAAAATCAGCCTACAAGTCGAAGTTGCGTTGCAGAGAAGCACTCGACGCGTCGAATCTTGGCAGTAAGGTCGCGATTTGCATTCTGTAAATGCTCGACGCGTCGAGCCCCCCGCCTCTGCTCCTTTTTAGCTGAGTTTTCACTCTTTTCTACTCGGTTTTTAACCCCATTCGAACCCTAACTATTTTTTACTCTTCCATTTCATATTTTAGTGTTAGATTAGGTGTAGATTTAGGTTCTTTATCATATTTCAAGCTTGTATTCAAGAATTCAACACTTGTATTCCAAGATTTAGCATCAATTTCTTTAGAGAAGTGTTCTTTCCCTTATCTCTTTTCCATTGCAATGTTTATGCTTTACACTTGTGTTTTTGTGTTCTTTGTGCTATTTAATCATGAGTAGTTAGTTTATGGACTTGAGTTAGGGTTGTATTATCTATCTTGATGCTTGATTTATGATTATTGCAAAAAGGGGAAGAACGCTAACCTAGGGTTCTTGAGTTTATGAAGGATTTGTGTTTGTATATTGTCAATGTTTGGTGTACAACATTCATTAGCATGTTTTGGAGGATTCTTGGCCTCAATGAGAGTTGGGTTAAGATTCCAAGCCACTCCTTGCATAAACCCGATTTTTCCTATGAAAATGGGGGAAATTGGGGGGTTTTAGATGCTTTGTGTTCTTGAAGAACTTGGAGCTGATTCACCACGAGAGTGGGGCAATTCCTTGTTCTAATCCTTGTTAATTTGCTCACGTGAGTGACTTATAGTCTAGGATTCCTACGTGCATCCCCTCTATTCCTTGGTTGTGTGATTTTCCCCAATCCTTAGATTGTGCTATGCATCTAGAAGATAATGCTCCCTAGCTTGAGTTCTATTTCTTTATTTCGTGTTTACATCTTGTTCATATGTGTTCGTGTTATTTTGTTTAGTTACCGTAGTCTTAACTTCGTTATAATTTGCTTAGCTTCTTGTTGGTTTCCTTTTGCTAGTGCCTAGTTTATTGCGATTGCATATTGCGTGTCATAACCCCCAATCCCTTGAGGACGACATAACACACCCGTACACTCACCATCACTCATTTTTGCTACATCAAGTTGCAATGCCGCGACTCTGCACCACAATGCAACGATGCAACAATGCTAACACGGCCGCAACGCTTCACGCCCACTTCTCGTCAAACTAAATCTATTGGCTAGCCAAAACCTCCAAGAATGCACAAATTTACATCTTTTTTTTTTTTAATTTCGAAATATAGTTCTTTTAGTTATTATTCATATTGTTGGAATTATGATATATTTTTTTAAATGTTACTAACTCTATTGCATTGTAGTATCTGTTCAAACTTACTTTCTCAACCTAATGAAGCACAAAGAGTCAACAACGCCTCCACTGACGCTTGATCTCATCATGACCTCCCACATGGGAGAGATTACTACACTACAGTTTCATTTCAACACAACTACAGTTTCATTTCGATATAACTACAGTTTCATTCGATATTATACACTCAAATATGTGAAACTGTTATTCAGTTTCATTTTATATATATTATAATATCATTACAACATAACTACATTATCATTTCAATATAACTACAGCTTCACTGCACAATATACACTCAAATATGTGAAATGTTGTTCAGTTTCATTTTATATACACTGCAGTTTCATTTCAACTTGACTACAGTATCGTTTTGATATAACTACAGTTTCGCTGGACAATATACACTCAAATATGTGAAATTGTTATTCAGTTTCATTTTGTGTACACTGCAGTTTCATTTCAACATAACTATAGTTTCATTTCAATTCAATTGCAGTTTCATTTGATAATATTAAAATAATACGTGAGGCTGTGTCAGTTTAGATACACTGTAGTTTCATTTTGTAATTAACACACAAAAAATACGCGCTCTGTTAAGCTGTAACGGCTGTCGTTTCTTACATAAAGAAATGGCGCCGTTTTTGGACTATGATCCACAAAGCTTTGTGGACCATGCTCCACAATATAATTGCTGTTTGATTACTTAGTGGGCCGCTATTCTTATTCATTCACTTTTATTTATCCAACTAGTATTTTTTATGCGCGATGCGCAAAAAATAGGTGCGCAATATTAATACATTATATTAAAATTTTAAATTTATTTAAATTATTCTAAATAATAATAATAATAATGTAAATCATTTTTATAAATTTGATATTTATGTTTATGTAATATTTAACATATAACTCAATATTTAATGTGGATATATTATTATTAATGAAGAAGATAAGAAAATATATGGTGGATGCATGTGCATGGTAACAATAGTGGAAAAGATAACGGAAGTTATAACGGTAGGGGTATGTTTGTCCAAAATATTTTAATGTACAACCTTTATAGCATAATGTACAAAAAAAATTTAACGGAAAAAATAGACATAAATCAGGGGTATAACTTTCATTCACACTTATTATGTTTTTAGATTAGATAAAATTTATACATGTAGTTGGAGTTAATTATACTTCATGGAGTATATATATAATGAGTTAATACCCAAAATTGTCCTCGACTATAGTGGTTTTTCTCAATTTCGTCCTAAACGACTTTGGTGACCTAATATCGTCCCAGACTTTTGTGTTTCGCTCAATTTAGTCCTCCATTTGTTATTCCGTCAAATTGGTGTTAAATAAAGGGACAATTCAGTAACGTCAATATTGATCTCTCTTTACTTTCAACTTGTGAAGTGCAAAATTCCTCTTTCTTGTACGAATTACACACAGAATTACTCCCGGACCTACAAATCAAATTTTATATTTGCAGTTTTAGGAGTAATTCTGAGAGTAATTCGTAAAAAAAAAAAAAGGGGATTTCGCAGTTCACATGTCTATGAGTAAAGAGATGTCAATATTAAAATTACTGAATTGTCTATTTATTTAACACCTAATGGACAGAATAACAAATGAGGGACTAAATTGAGCAAAAACACAAAAGTCTGGGACTAAATTGAGCGAAACACAAAAGTCTGGGACGATATTAGGTCACCAAAGTCGTTTAGGACGAAATTGAGAAAAACCACTATAGTCGAGGACGATTTTGGGTATTAACTCTATATATAATTTTCCTTTTAAAAATGTTCACCCACTGTTTTTTTTGAAAGTTTTAATAGCGATATATTAATGAATAAACTGAATGATAGAGTCAGGAGGGACAGAATCCCAGTACATAGATTGTTCCTGATCAAAAGCTAGTGAAGCTAAAGTATGAGCATAAAAATTAAGCGTTCTAGAAACATAACTCAAAGAACACTTTGTAAATGACGATATAGCTGTCCTACATTGGTCCACAATGATCCCAAGGTAAGAGTAGTTAGCCGTGGGGCTTGAGTGTAGAGTATTCCGTAATTCCAAGCAATCTGTTAAAATATCCACTTCAATGATATCCCGATCTTTGAGCCAAGATAGCGCCTCCTTGCATGCTATCGCCTCTGCCATAATAGCCGAGAAAGCCCCCGCGAGCTTTCCACTTGCTGCGGCAACAAATGCGCCATGGTGAGAGAGGAGTACTACTCCATACGTTGCTTCTCCAGTGTCTGGTCTGTATCCTGCATCGACGTAGCAGCGTGGAGTCTCGCTGCCACTTGCCACGGTCATCACGGTAGGCGACGGTGTGCATGCCGGCGGGCGTGATCGCTGGTAGGCGTGCATGGCTGCCATCGCCCGCTGCCACGTCTGGTTCGACCTTGGAAGAGCACGTTCCCATACCGCAACATTGTGGGCACTCCAAATATTGTATAGCACAGCTGCAGCAAGACCACATTGATCCTCTGTCAAGACATTAAAAATTCCCATAAGCCATGTTGACATCGAATGAGTAATAATATTGGCAACAGGCAACCCCGACATACTCCATATTAATCTAGCATAATCACACAAGATTAACACATGCATGGCGTTTTCCTGCACCATTCGACACATTGGGCAAACCGGTTCAACCTCCACCCGCCTTATAATCAAATTATCTGTAGTAGGGAGGATATCACAAACTGCTCTCCACAAGAAGGTTTTCCATTTGGGTGGCACCTTTAGTTTCCACAAAGTAACCCATTTATCAAAAGCACCTAGGTTATGCTCATAATCTCCCTTAATTTGCCTATAGGCATTCTTTACAGAATATACTCCATTTGTCTCTCCCTTCCAATACCATGTGTCCTCATAATCTGGGCTAAGAATCATAGAAATACGAGCCACATCCTCAGGGATAAATAAATCTGCCAAAATATGAGGGTCCCATGTATTAGTTTGCTGGTCAATTAAACCTGCTACGGCATTCCGTAATTCTTGTGGCATGATTGTTTGGACCAACGGACTGGGATTATCTGGTAGCCAGGGATGACCCCATATCAATGTTTTTGCACCATTCCCTATTCGCCTTCTTACCCCCGAACAAACCATTCCATGTGCAGCCATTATACTTCTCCAGCAAAAACTTGGACAATTCCCTATAGTGGCATCAATAAAAGAAGTATTCGGATAATACCTGACTTTATATATCCTTGCTGCTAAAGTACAGGGATTCGCAAGGAAACGCCATGCCTGTTTTCCCAGCATAGCCAAATTAAAAGCTCGTAGATCTTTAAAACCCAACCCCCCATACTTCTTGGGGATGCATAATTTATCCCAAGCTTTCCAATGTATCTTCCTTTCAGCACCAATTCCCCACCAATATCTATTCATGGTTCTCTCAATAGATGTGCAAACCGTCTCAGGTAACAAAAATACACTCATAAAAAATGTTGGCATAGATTGAGCCACACTTTTCAAGAGTACCTCCTTACCAGCCTGAGTGAGCAATTTTTTACTCCACGAACCAATTCTTTGTCTGATCTTGTCCTCCACATAGGAAAAAACAGCTCTCTTATTCCTGCCTACAGATGATGGTAGGCCCAAATATTTCCCAAAATTAGCAGCCTGGTTCACCCCAAGACACGCTGCCACCTCCCCCCTTATTTCTTCATGAGTATTCCTGCTAAAACATATACTGGACTTATCGTAATTCACTTTCTGACTAGATAACCTTTCATACTGTTGCAAACACTGCCTGATTACACCTGCTTCCTCGATATTAGCTTTGAAGAACAGTAGACTATCATCTGCGAAAAAAAGATGGGAAACCGGGGGTGCACCGCTTGCCACCCTACAACCATGTATAGCCCCCTCTATCTGTGCTTTCTGCAATAGCATGGAAAGACCCTCTGCACATATAATAAACAAATAGGGAGATAGGGGGTCCCCTTGTCTAAGCCCGCGGGTAGGTGTTACCTGTCCTCCAGCCACCCCATTCACCATTATCGTATAGTTTACAGTTGTGACACAATGCATAATAAGATTCACCCAACGCTGATCAAAACCTATGGCACACAACATCTTCTGCAGAAAAGGCCATTCCATCCTGTCATATGCCTTTGACATATCAAGCTTTAGGTCACTCCATCCTGTCAACCCATATTGCTTTCTATTCAAGTAGTGACCCACCTCCGCTGCAACCAAGATATTATCCGTGATTAGGCGTCCTGGAATAAACGCACTTTGGGACTCTGAGATTAGATCCCCCATAAGTGGTTTCATCCTATTCGTTATCATCTTGGCCATTACCCTGTATATAACATTACTAAGAGCAATCGGTCTCATATCTGCCACCATTTCTGGCATACTTTTCTTGGGAATTAATACAATATTAGTATCATTTACGCCCTCAGGAAGATTGCCTGAATTCAAACAAGTTGTTATAAACTCAGCCACATCCCCCCTACTACATCCCAGAAGTGCCGATAAAAGCCTGGATTCATTCCATCCGGCCCAGGTGCCTTGTCAGGATACATGGAATTAAGTGCCTCTTTCACATCTTCTGGTCCAAACGGACGCAATAAAGATTCATTCTGAGCATGTGATACCCGCGACACGAAATCGTCAAATAAAGCATTATCATAAGCAGTACTCTCAGTTGCATAAATATTTCGAAAATATTCAAGTATGACAGAGCACATATTATTCCCTTCCACCCACATGCCATCATTATTCTTAATTCTACTCACAGTATTCTTTTTTTTACGAGCAGAAGCATACCTGTGATAGAATCTCGTATTCGCATCTGCACCACGAAGCCAGTGCTGCTTCGCTCGCTGCCTCCAGAACACATCCTCCTGCGCTTCCAGCTGGGCCAAGAGCACATCGATCTGGTGAAACTCGGCCAACGCAGCCGGCTCCCTCCTATTCCTGATACTCCCCTGTCTCTTTCTCAACTTCCCAATACGCTCTCCAAATTTATGAAAGCCCTCACATCCCCACCTCATCAACCTCTCCCCACACCGCTGCTGACAACTCAGCAACCCCTCAACCCTCCCACCCTGCCAGACTGACACCACCACATCCCTACATCCCTCATCATGGAGCCATGCCATCTCAAACCTAAAACCCCTCGCAACCCTTCCCCTACGCATGCATGGCACATCCATACTAAGGAAGAGAGCCGAGTGATCCGAGGGCCGAGCTATAATATTTTCCACCTCCACATTCTCATCCAGGCCACACCAGTCAGGCATGGCTAAAACCTTGTCAAGCCTCTCCTCAATCCAGTTCTTCGTTCCTCTACTCTTTTCCCAAGTAAACTGATGGCCCCTCATAGGTAATTGCATTAGACCACAACCATCAAGGGTTTCACCAAAGCCTCGTAGGAGATTATTCGGGTATGGATTCCCCCTCTCTTCTCATACTGAAACAGGAGATTATTAAAATCCCCTATGACCACCCAAGGCAACAAAGATCTAGTTTTCAAACTATCCAATAATTCCCAAGACTCACCTCCTACTGCGATCCGAATGTCCATAGAAACATGTCATACGCCACTGCTTACCATTCTCGGCCCTTACCTCCACATCCACGTGATTCTTAGAATAACTCAACAAACTAGCCGTATTATTCCTCCTCCAGAACAGAGCAAGGCCACCACTCAACCCGTCATTATCCACATAAAATAATCCTTCATATCCAAGCGTGACACGGAGCCTTTCCGCATGTATCCGTGCCACCATGGTCTCCATTAAGAACACAAACTCAGGCTTCTTTCGGGACACTATGTCCACCACTTGTCGAACTGTTCGTGGATTGCCCAAGCAACGACAGTTCCAACTTAGCGTACTCATGATGACGGGCGGGGCTGAGGAACAGCTCCCGCCATACACAAGTTTTTTGAGACATCATTCATTGCAACATCACCATCCTCCGAGTTAACACACCCTTGCTGCCCTTGCCTGCGGCGCTTCCCGGTTGCCACCACATCTCCACCACTTGGCACTACCCCAACCGGGGCTCCACCACCCCCCCGGCTTCTCGCCGTTCTCCCCCAACTTCCTCCACACTGCCCGGCTCGGTTACCGGCATCGGCAACGACTTCCTCCCTCCCACCGGGATTAGCCAACTCTCGCCCACCCCCCTCGCGGCCCCCCGACTGCCCCTGCCCTCAAATCAGCCCCATACGGAAATCTTTCAACCGGAACGCGACTCCCCCGGGCCTTCAAACAAAAAGTATGAACATGTCCCATAAGTCCACAATAGAAACAGAATTTGTGGAGTCGTTCATACCTAAAAGAAACCCCACACGTAGTCTTGTCTCTTTTAACCAGCTTCATGCCTCTCCTCAATGGTTTGTCCACCGCAATCGAGACCCGGATACGATAGAACGTTAACCAGGGAGCCCCAACAAATCTATCATCATGCTTAACGAATGTACCAATGAACTTACCTGCCTACTCAAGAACGCTCTGCGACGTGTAACCCATTGGTAATTCATGCAATTGAACCCACATATCAACAGTATTAAGTGGCACATCACACAGATTCACCACCCCCCCCCCCACAACTTCTCGGCAAATAAGGGTATTATTCTCAAACGCCCACGGTCCCCCATTCAACACATACTCGACATCCGTTATGTGATAGAACACAAAAAAGAATAATCCCGGTTGAATCTTGGTCAAACCGGCTGCCATACGGATGCCATCACCTGCCGCATATACTCGAGCTTTACCTCCTTTGCTGTGAGGAACCGGCCCACGACTGCCCAAGTAGCTTCCCCGTCGACCACCACCTCCCCTACGCCCTCCCCGTCCGGCACAAACTCCTCCCCTTCCTCCTCCAAAGCCATATCCGCCCAACTTGCTGTCAGTCTCTCAACAGCCTCCGTCGACTGCGCTGCTGCTGCCACCTCGCTGCTTTGCTCATCCATTACGTCGATTACCGGAAGAAGAAGCAAAGATACCGTCGAAACCCTAGAAACCCTAGAGAACAAGGCAAAATCCTAGGACTCCTAGAGAGAGAATTTTTAAAAATTAATATAAAATTCACCCACTGTTGAGTGATGGGATATGCAAATGTGGATTTTGACATTATGAAGGTGGATCGTGTGGCAGATAAAATCACCCACAGCTCATGCTCTACCCCTATTCATCTATTTCACTACGATTATATATATGTGGTTCATATGAACATACATTGATATGTGACAAATTATACTAGTATGTTAAAAATAAATTTATATCAAAATATATTGAACAAATTAGAATAAACATGTAATACAATAAAAATAAATCTACAATACATTAAAATTGAATGTTTATGTCAGTGGTCCACATCCATCTTACAATGTGGACAATTATCTACGATATCACATTGTTGATGTGTTCCTACATTGAAATTAGTACGTGTGTGTTTGAATAATCATTATACTATAGATCATAGTCTAACTTAAAAGATGAGCCGTTACCATAAAGTACATTTTTACTACGTTGAACATTTATTTTTTAAAAAATTCATTAATTCATATACCATGGTCCATACAATAATGATTGCAATAATTTGCCACGTTTGAATGATTGGGCCAAATTTGTACCTGATGGAGTGATGGACTTAAAGGTTACTGGATTGCTCTGAGTTGGGCCTCTGCCAAAACAAGGCAAAAAACGAATGCATTTTAAAGTAATTTATAGAGGCAGTAACATTTTGAGATTTCCAGAGTATATGTATTAAAAAAAACAAAACTTTGCATGTGATGTGATGATAATCGATAACAGCAAATTAATAATATATGATGCATTAATTATTTAATAAATATTCTTGTTGCATAAAAATACACGAAAAGATTCCATATAATTAGGTGGCACCATCACCCATGGAAGAAAAGGGCTGTGAGACCAGCTGGTAAGGCAAGGTGTGAAGGTGGCACCATTTTCAGATATAAAGTCATCACTGTATCACAGTACTACAGCGGGATGCTTAAATTCTTATCTGTTCTATTATAAAATCCCTTGCCTCCTCACCGTCCATGGCAACATATATAATATTCTGTAGAGTTTTTATCTCTTTTAATTCCACAACTATTGAACAATTTTTATATTTGATTCCACGACTTTTAA